GGCTAGTGATGTTTCAAGTGGTAAGATTATGAGCTTTAATAAGTAAAATTATCCCAGCTACAATGACAGACAACAAATATTACATTTATAGTATTACAACGAAAACCGTTTTTCACGCCACCACCGCAGTTTGTCCTTCATGAACCTTCGTAGACAAGATGGCGGCTGCCTGTAGTGGGGACCCGCGACCAGGGAGATATAAACAGCTTTTTATAAGGTAAAAATAATAAAACAAGGTCTTTGTCTGCAATGATTAGACATGTTTTTTTATTATTGTCATTAGTGATTATCTCAATTTCGGCTAAAATAATTGACAAAATCCTACACACTGTGCCTTTAAGCAACATAAAACAAACAACAAAAAACAAACTTTTAAATGGTACATGTAACACCTTTAATTCTAGTTTTAAATTAATTATAATACTTCACATTGATTAATTCAAATGTATATAAAAGTTTATAATTTGTTAGTTAGGTCTGTGGGTCAGAACAACATAAAAGTGAACTTTAAGATGGTTAAATTCAGTGGCAGACTAAAGGAGACATAAAAAGACAGAATGACCTGAAAACAGCTCCGTGTGTTGAACATACAAACAGGCACTGAAATTATCTCCATCTATTTGACAGAAGATAATGATGCTTTATCTCTCTATTTCAAAAGCAGTTTTTTCTGTCCTTATTCTGACTCATTATCCAGAGTAAACCCTTTTATTTCCAAATAAATGCTGGATTACATCAGCTCCACCATGGAGAGAAATGTCCCCACTGGTCCAGTAGCTTTGTTTTGTTTTGTTTTTTTATTTTGTAATAGATTAAATCTATTTTATCAAGCTCTCATTATGCTAAAGAGAAAATGTGTTTATTAGGTGTGATGTATGAGGGGTTTTACTTGCAGAGCTGTTTCTGTCTGTTGGAAATTCACAGTGAAACATCAGTTTGTTCCAGAAGGATTTCAAGACCGTTCAAGATTTACATGATTTTGCACAGATCTGGTCAAAAACAACCGTTATACAGACTGAATGTACAAATGTACACAGATAGACTGTTGTTTTTGTTTCGGCTGCTCCATTCTGCAGAGATCACCACAGAGAACAAACTCACATTCATCAGTTGTTTTACATCAAATGCAACCTGCAGGGCTCACCAGGCTCAGGATTACACTACACACTGATCAGAGTGTAATTTAATCTCCATACTAAAACTCTCCCTATAAAAGGTTCATTCTCACTGAATCTTGACTGTTTCTGAATGTTGGCCACTAGTGATGGGCAGTTTGAAGCTGAAGCTTCGGCGCATGTATTAAAAAAAACAACACACTGTTTCAGAAGCACTGTGTCGGAGCTTGATTCGTTTGGTAAAAGTCACGTGATCAGTGACGTCCGAAGCTTCGAAAGTGGTGAACTTACGTCACTGCTTTGGTACCTGATTCAAAGAAGTGAATCATTGGCTGGATTCTTGGTGTGTTTTGATGGCATGTGCGCAAAATATAACAAACCAGTGAAGGACTTATTGTGAGACGCAGAGGCAAACAAACATATGTGTTTAGTTTGTTGTGCAGTTTATAAACCTGGGCCAGATAGAGTGGGAGTCACAGACCCACAAAGAACCTTTGCTGCGAGCGCACATGTGCGCGCGCACGCACGCAC